CTAAGAGGATTTGAGCAAAATCGCAAAGGTATATCTAATTAAAAGTACATCCATGCTACTCATGCTTTTGTATGCGTCGCAGTTCTATGTTCAAACTTTCCAAAGTGTTATGACAACAGATGTTGTGTGAGAGACCTTGACATTAATGGACGTGAGACTCATTGTCGTCTTTTGCGCACGAGCCGCATAGCATCGGTAGTTTTCAAATTTTAGCTGAAAAGAGGGCGGGTGATCAAATGTGGCGGGAACAAATGTCGACAGCATTCACTGCTGCTTCCTAGTGCTAATGAGAGCTCAATTTTTGAATGAGGGGTCAATTTCTAATACACGAGGTTATACATCTTGCAATTATGATCAAGGCTACTCTGATTATCTTGACGTACTGAAGCACATGATCCTCTGCATAACTCATCTAACAGCAAAGCGCATAATCTTGATCCTGCATACCTTCAAGACCCTCAGCGCCATCCATTTCGGTAAGAAGTTGGTTAACGACACGATCTGTCACACCAGTAGAGTCGTTCCCTCGCTGAGGTGCCAATGAGTCCAATTCATCAAATATTATAATACTGGGTGCTGAGGCTCGTGCCCTGGATATAGCAAGATAATCGTGTGACGAATATGGGTTTGTCGTAGAAGAAACCCTTTCCATCTTCTGTTGTGGCCTTTGTTGCAACTGTCTTCGCTCAATAAGAGTTCCAGTTATCGCTCTACTGACTAAAAATATCACAGAATCCACCAAAAGCTCCCACCAAGGCAAATAATTTTGATCAAACATTACGGTTAACAACCAGCTTCAAAGACACCGAATACTGCTGCTCAATTTGCATGTTCTCATGCGATGTGTGAGAAACAGGCGCAAGCAGTAACCTTCCCTATTGATTCTTTTACAGAAACAACTATGAACACCCAAGAAAAGTTGAAAGAAAAATGACCTCGTCTGCGATGATATACAGGGTGCGCAGTACTGTCCCTCAAATAAAAAAGATTAAAAACTTTGCTTGATGTCTTGGGTGTTCTAGCTGTTTGGCAATAATCTAAAGGTAAAAATTGACTCTAGCATTCTAGCGTTTTACGAAAACCTGCCCCAGAATTCTGCAATTTCAGTCGGAAATATCCCTATTCACTGCGCATCGCATGTCAATCCTTGCCACTCTCTTTTACTGGTAAAAGATTACTAAAAACCTTATTTTTACATGAAAACTCGAGCTATATTTTATTGCCTAAAAAATGTGCTAGTAATCATGAAGGACAATCCTTCATGCTGAAAGGAGTGCCCT